TTCTTCTGGCTGGCGCTCTACCCCTTAAGCCACACCTCCACCTGCCAGCTTTTTGCTGATTCATCCATGAGAAACCCGCATCATACACAGACTCTCCAGCCGGGGACTGGCTTAGAACCAACCGAGATCCCCAAGATCGGAGGATCCCCGCCTCCCCCCCACCCCACCCCACCCCACCCCACCCCCCGCCCCCGGGGTCGCTCACAGGTGTGAGCTGGTTTGTTTGTAGGGTTGCGTTGTTTGCTTGTTGGTTTGGGGGTTCGACGCCGTGAAATTCCTCGGGTGACCTCAACACACGCTTGCAGGGAACCCAAAAAATGGCCTGATAGTATCATAAGGAGAAAGAAGAAAAGAAAGCATGCACCTCTCCTAATAGGTGATCATCAGATTTCACACACACACACACACACACACACACACACACACACTCGTGCACAGGTGCACACAGCACCAGCAAACAGCAGCTGCCCGAGGTCCCTGATGTATTCTTTAAGTGGTAGAAGACAAATATTCCCCGCCCCATGCCAGTAATACGCTACATAGTCGATCTTGAACCTCCAAACCCAGCTCTCAGCACTGTAAGCCCCCCACCCCGCTTTCCTGGGGTCATCAGACTCAAGTAAGTCCTGATCAGACTCAGCCCCTGCCCAGGCTGGCTTTGACCCTCGATCCTCAGATCTCAGCCTCCTGAGTCGCTGGGATGACAGGGTCATTTTCAGGGGAGGGCAGAGAGCTCCAGATGGACAAGATCTCGCGACGTTCGCGTGCTTCTCTAAGGCTGAACAAATCCATTCTCTCTCCCTCTCTCCCTCCCTTCCTGACTCCTCCCTCCTTCTCTCTCTCTCTTCCTCTCCCTCCTTCCCTGGCTCTCTTCCTCCCTCCCTCCACCTTTCTCCTTCCCATCTCTCCCTCCCTCTCTCTACCTCTGCTTTTCTCTTTCCTTCTTTCTTCCTCTTCCTCTCTCCCTCCTTTTCCTTCTCTCCTTCCTTCCTTTTCTCCTTCCCTTTCTCCCTCTCTCCCTCCTCCCTCCTCTCCCTATCTCTTCCTCCCTCCCCCCTCTCTCCACTCTCTCTTCCATTCCTATATGTGGAGGACATTTTCCGGGGACATTTTTCTAACTCCCCCCCAAACACACACACACCAAGGCTCCATATCAGGAGACCCCATGGCTCCCTGGGCCAGAGGTTGGACGCCGGCTTCTCCATAAACATCGGGTCACACGTGGCTGAGACCCCCCCCAAACTGTGACCAAAACACCACAGAGCCTCCCAAGAACTAGAACCATGGGGGGGGACAGAGACAGACAGACAGAGACAGACAGACAGAGGGACAGAGACCGAAAGAGACACAGAGAGAGAGAGAGAGAGGGCGGGAAGGTTTAAAACAACAGAGGAGGGAAGCTTCTAGAACACCCAGAAGAGAAGGGGAGAGAGGGAGGGGCTGACCGGGGGCGTGGCTCACACGGTGCAGCGTCTGCCTGGCAAGCATGAGGCCCTGGGTTCAAATCCCAGCACCACCGGCCGTCAACAAGGCAGAGGCCGCACGGTGAAGGTTAGAGAGAAGGAGCACTGTGGATGGAGTCCAGGGGACATGAAATGCACCCCAGGACCGCAGGACCCCAGGGCCAGGCCACGTGGGGATCCCCGCCTGCTCCCCAGGCCCCCCTCCCCAGCCCTAGTTTTGCAGGTGTGGGGGGGGTGGGCAGGTCCGGCGCCACGTTCCCCTGGAGGGGGACCTACCTCAGATGCAGGCGGCTGGCTGTCCTGGGAGTCCCCACGTGGTCAGGAAGGCCACACTGAGCTCACGGTGTCACCGCTGCCCCCGAGATCTCGCGACGGCGCCCACGTCGAGGGGGAGAAGGGCAGAATCCCGAAGAACCACGGCTGACATACCCCCCAGGCAAAGATGGCGTTTCCTCTCTCTCCATCACACGAGGCTGACGTGACTTCTTCCAACCAGGCCCGGCCTGGCCTGGCTGCAGTGTCGGGGGGCAGTGTACCCCCCCCTTCCCAGAGGGCTCCCCTTACTTTCTAAAGACAAATACCAGTCATCCTATAACATGGATGTTGGTTGACCTGGATGGGGGGGGGCAGTTCTCAGCCATTTGAGTTTCTGATAACCCGAAGGGGTCATGGCGGGGGTCAGGGGGGTCGGGGAAGAGGGGTACAGGGTGTATGGAAGAGTTGAGGGGGGCTGCTTCTTGAATCGGGAGGGATGAACGGTCTGTGTGCCCAGGGAATCAGGAGAGAGAGGGAGAGAGGGAGAGAGAGAGAACAGTCTAGAAGGTTGCTATGGCAACCCGAGTCCCCTGAGAGCCCTGGGCTCTCCAAACCGTGGTTTTCGGGCCTGCTCTGACAGGAAGGAGAAGGTAACCTGCGCTTCCACAATGGCAACAATCGCACACACGCGTGTGCGCACGTACGCACACGCACACAGCACACGCAGAGACACGCATGCATGCAGGTCCATTCATTCCTGGAGAGATCTGGGGGTTGGGGGGGGGCGATGGAAGGGGGGGTGGACTCGCTTCTGATCGGGGCCTGGGATGAAGATGTTGAATTGCTGGGGGTGGGGGTGGAGGGCGGGCGGAGAGGGAAGGAGGGGGGGACTCACCACCCCCCAGCCTGGCTGAGGGACCCCTCCCTTCATCCTGAAAAGTAAAGGGGAAGATGGAGGCCCGGGCCCAGAGGCTCAGCTCTGGAGGCCCAGGAAGCCTTTGGAAGGTGAGCGGTCCATCATGGCTGCTTCTTAAGCTTTGAACTCCAAGTAGAAACTCCCTGGAGTGTCTTTCCTTGCTTCTGGGGTTTGGGGGGGGGGAAGGAAAGGGAGAGAGGGTGTGGAGGGGGGTAGGGGAGGGGGAGAGGATTAATTAAGAATCAGATCCATTTATTATCAGTCAGCTCATCGGCAAAGCAGCTTCCCCCATGGGACAGCGAAACCACGGAGGCTCCCGTTTAATAGGTAGGGAAACTGAGGCCCAGAGACAGACTCTAAGCACTAAAGTTACCCCGCAGGGCCTCATGAAAGGAAAAAAAATCCAGACTGTGAACAGTCCCTCTTAGGGGGAGGGAGGGCAGGCAGCACCCAAACTAATCCACCAAGGCTGCCTGTCTCTTGTACAACTGCCCTTCCAGATCTTTTTAAGAAAATAAGAGAGCCAGGCGCCCATAGCTCCCGCCTGTCATCCCAGCTACTCAGGAGGCTGAGCTCTGAAGATCGTAGTTCAAAGCCAGCCTGGGCAGGAAAGTCCATGAGACTCTGATCTCCAATGAACCACTTAGAAAACCAGAAGTGGTGCTGTGGCTCAAGGGGTAGAGCGCCCTCCTTGAGCTGAAGAGCTGAGGGACAGCGCTCAGGCCATGAGTTCAAGCCTCAGGTCCGACAAATGGGGGGAAAAATTAAAAAGTAGATAGAGAATGAAAAGCAGTGAACAGTCCTTTTGGACTCCAACCCTGAAGAGGCCCAGCTCTAGGGACAGCACAGTTCACCCAAGGCAGGCCACGGAACGGCTGCGCGGCAGGGACAGAGTTATGGGACAGTGGGTAGCTGGGGAGACAGGATGGCTTCCCAGATAGGAACCCCCTTGTTACCTTACAGATACAGAAAGGTCCCATGGAACCTCATGGAAAACCATAGGTCGGTCATGGGGCTTGAACTCCGGGCCTGGGCGCTGTCCCTCAGCTCTTCAGCTCATGGCTGGCGCTCTACCACTTGAGCCACAGCGCCACTTCTGGCTTTTTCTGCTTCTGTGGTGCTGAGGAATCGAACCCAGGGCCTCATGCATGCGAGGCGAGCGCTCTACCACTGAGCCACCTTCCCAGCCTGCCCGTGGATATTTGAATCAGCAAAGCCTCCCCTCTGGCCTCCAAACCACTCACACCACACCTGGAGTCTGGGTATTGCTTGGCAGACTCATCAGAGGCCATTCTGACTCCCAGGAAGGATTGGTGGGGGGGGGGGGGGAGTAGGGGTAGAGGTGGGGAGAGGGGAGGGGAAGCAGGCTCTCCTTGGTCCCTGGTAGTGGACAGTTCCTCCTAAGAGGTCCCTGGCTTGAGCTCTGTGGTTTCTAGCCACTTCCTTGGCTCTATATCCTCTGGCTTGGTGATTCCATTTTCCCATTGCACAGGAAGGCACTTACAAGAAAAGAAGGAGGAGGAGGGGGAAAAATAAAAGGATTTGGCTCAAAGAAGCAGACCTTCCTGGAAGCTCAAAACAGGGAGAGAAGGAGGGAGGGAAGGAGGGAAGGAGGGAAGGAGGGAGGGAAGGAGGGAAGGAGGGAAGGAGGGAGGCAAGGAGGGAGGGAAGGAGGGAGGGAGGGAAGAAAGGAGGGAAGGAGGGAGGGCCCAGTGTTCCCTTATGGGTCCCACAGCTGGAAAAATAAATCCACCAGGTCCGACCCTCGTGGATTCCTCAAACAGTTCGGTCCATCTGCACGTCCTCCAGTTCCATCCCAGGCTAGATGTGCATGAATACAACCCCAGCCTGGGGGGGGCGGCTCTCTGCAGGATGATTGGCAGCTGTGAGGGCCTATGATTCATCAGAGAGCCGCTCTGCACGGGTCCCGCCTCCCCCCCCTCCAGGCTCTCCTGCCAAGTTACCAAGGAGATCAGAGGCTAAGGACAGGTGTCAACCCCAAGGGAGCAAGGTACCACGTGCGGCCTGGCCTGGCTGCTTTTCTGCAGCCATTCCAGAGAGAGTACCAGTCCCCGGTGGGAGGGAGAGGATCGGAAGGGAAGGTACTTCTCGTCCACGAGACAGATGCACACACGCAAACGAGTAGTCATGGTAGGTAGGGTGGAGTTTCCAAAATGTCACGTCGATGGGTTAAACCAAGCACTCAAGGTTGACAAGACACCCCCTGGGTATATAGAGAGAGATAGATGTCTGCTCCTGGGTACTGGGTGCTGAGTTAATATGAAGATGACCAGGAGCGAGGGGCGTGAACAAGAGAAGGAAGCCTTGGCCGTGGGCGGCGTGGGGTGGACTCCCTCCGGGCTGGATCAGACTTCCGTGAGCACCTTCTTCTCGGGGCCGTGGGCCCGGTGTGGGGTGGGAAGGTAGCTGGACCTCCGTTCCCGGGCGACCCCCTCGGAGAAATCCGGCTTGCCGCTGTCGGTGACGTCCAGGTCCGGCGTGGGCTGGCCGCACGTGACGTGCAGGTACTGCACCTGCTCCTCCTGCTCCGTCTCGCGGTGGTAGAAGTAGTTGAAGTTGGACACGATGACGGGCACGGGCAGGGCGATGGTGAGCACCCCCGCGATGGCGCACAGGGACCCCACGATCTTCCCGCCCACGGTCATGGGGTACATGTCGCCGTAGCCCACGGTGGTCATGGTGACCACGGCCCACCAGAAGGCATCGGGGATGCTGGGGAAGAGAGAGTCGTCGTCGTCGGCCTCGGCGAAGTAGACGGCGCTGGAGAAGAGGATGACCCCGATGAAGAGGAAGAAGATGAGCAGGCCCAGCTCCCGCATGGACGCCTGCAGGGTCTGGCCCAGGATCTGCAGCCCCTTGGAATGGCGGGAGAGCTTGAAGATGCGGAACACCCTGACCAAGCGGATGACCCTCAGGATGGCCAGCGACATGGCCTGCTGCCCGTTCTGCCCGGCCTGGGTCTGGGGCTCGGCCAGCTCGGTCCCCAGGGTGATGAAGTAAGGGAAGATGGCCACGATGTCGATGATGTTCATGATGTTCCGGAAGAAGGCCGCCTTGCTGGGGCAGGCCGAGAAGCGCACCAGCAGCTCGAAGGTGAACCAGACGATGCACAGCGTCTCCACCAGGAAGAAGGGGTCGGTGAGGAAGGAAGGCCCCCCTCCCAGGGAGCCCAGGGGTCCCCCGGCCCCGGTGACGCCGCCCGGGGGGAAGAGCTCGGCCTCGTCCTCCTCCTCCTCCTGGCTTCCCCTGGACACCGGGCGCTGCCGGTCACCCACCCCGAGGCCCCCTCGGCCCTCGGCCCGGAACTGAGGCAGCGTCTCCAGGCAGAAGATGACGATGGAGGTGAGGATGACCAGCACGGACACGATGGCGATGGCCCTGGCCGGGCCCGAGCTCTCCGGGTACTCGAAGAGCAGCCACACCTGGCGCTGGAAAGGCCGGGTGGGCAGCGGGCGCTGGTCCTCGCCCGCCTCGGGCAGGCAGCCCTCGTCCTCCCGGAAGGCGGCCAGGGCCTGGTCCCCCAGCTGGTAGAAGCGGATCTCCTCCAGGAACACGTCCAGCGGGACGTGCACGGGCCGGCGCAGGCGGCCCCCCGACTGGTAGTAGTGGAGGATGGCGTCGAAGCTGGGCCGGTGGCGGTCGAAGAAGTACTCGTTGCGCAGCGGGTCGAAGAAGCGCACGCGGCGGCCCGGGTCCCCCAGCAGCGTGTCCGGGAACAGCGCCAGCGTGCGCAGCTGCGTCTCGAACCGCAGCCCCGAGATGTTGATCACCAGCCGCTCGCTGCGGCAGCAGTCCTGCGCGTCCGCGCCCGCCGTGGGCTCCGCGTCCGACCGCATGGCCGCGGGGCGCCCGGGCTCCGATCGCGGGGTGCCCGGCTCCGAACGCGGGGTCCCCGGGCTCCGGGGGTCACCGAGCTCCGATCGCGGGGTGCCCGGCTCCGATCGCGGGGTGCCCGGCTCTGATCGCGGGGTGCCCCGGGCTCCGGGGGTCACCGAGCTCCGATCGCGGGGTGCTCGGCTCCGATCGCGGGGTGCCCGGCTCCGGGGGTCCCCGGGCTCCGATCGCGGGGTGCCCGGCTCTGAACGCGGGGTCCCCGGGCTCCGATCGCGGGGGTGCCCGGCTCCGATCGCGGGGTGCCCCGGGCTCCGGGGGTCACCGAGCTCCGATCGCGGAGTCCCCGGGCTCCGATCGCGCGTCCGAGGCCCCGATCCCAAAGTCTCCGGCTCCGATCGCGGGGTCCCCGGCTCCGATCGCGGGGTGCCCGGCTCCGGGGGTCACCGAGCTCCGATCGCGGGGTGCCCGGCTCCGGGGGTCCCCGGGCTCCGATCGCGGGGTGCCCGGCTCTGAACGCGGGGTCCCCGGGCTCCGATCGCGGAGTCCCCGGGCTCCGATCGCGCGTCCGAGGCCCCGATCCCAAAGTCTCCGGCTCCGATCACGGGGTCTCTGGGCTCTGATCTCAGGTCCTGGGCTCCGATCTCGGGGTCCCGGGCTCCGATCGAGGGGTCCCAGGCTCTGATCTCGGGGTTCCGGGCTCTGATCTCAGGTCCCCGGCTCCGATCTCACGTCCCTGGGGTCCGATCGCGGGGTCCCGGGCTCCGATCGCGGGGTCCCCGGCTCCGATCGCGGGGCGCCCGGGCTCCGGGGGTCACCGAGCTCCGATCGCGGGGTCCCCGGCTCCGATCTCACGTCCCCGGGCTCCGATCGCGGGGTCCCGGGCTCCGATCGCGGGGTCCCGGGCTCCGATCTCGGGGTCCCGGGCTCCGATCGCGGGGTCCCGGGCTCCGATCGCGGGGTCCCGGGCTCCGATCTCGGGGTCCCGGGCTCCGATCGCGGGGGTCCCCGGCTCCGATCGCGGGTCCCCGGCTCCGATCGCGGTCCCCGGCTCCGATCTCACGTCCCCGGGCTCCAATCGCGGGGTCCCGGGCTCCGATCGCGGGGTCCCGGGCTCCGATCGCGGGGTCCCCGGCTCCGATCGCGGGGTCCCCGGCTCCGATCGCGGGGTCCCGGCTCCGATCGCGGGTCCCCGGCTCCGCTCTCCCGGCCGCAGCCCCCTCCTCCTCCTCCGGGCCGCGCGCGCCCCTCGGGGGCGGGGCCGCGATCTGACCTGCGGCGGGTCCCCGCGTCCGTGCGTCCGTCCGGAGCCGCAGGGTGCGGCGCGGGGGGCCGGGGCCGGGGCCGCTCCCCGCCGGGCCACGCGGGCCCCGGGGCTCCGCCCTCCGCGGGGGTGGGGGGCTCCCCCAGGCCCGGCCGCGCGCGCCCCGCTCGGTCCGGCCGAGGTCTCCGATCCGCCGGGGTCCGCCGGGATCCGCCGCCGCCCCGGCCTCGGCGCGGCCCCCGCCGCCGCCCGGCTGCCTGTGCCCCGTGCGCCCGGGCGCGGCGGCTCCCGCCCTCCCCGCCGCCCTCCCCGCCGCCCTCCCGCACTCACTCCACGCGTGACGTGGCAGGCCCCGCCCCCCGCACGCCGCACCCCCTTTCCCGCGCTCTCGGGGACCCCTGGGAGCTCAGGTACAGAGTGGGGGGGAGGGAGGGGGGAGGGGAAGAGGGGAGGAGGGGGAGGGGGAGGGGGGCGGAGAGGAGGGGAGGGGAAAGGAGGGGGGGAGGAGTGGTAGAGGGGAGGGAGGGGAAGGAAGGGTGGGAGGGGAGGGGTGAAGGAGGAGGGGAGGAGGAGGGTGAAGGAGGAGGGGACCCCCACCCCTCCCCTTCCCCCCTTCCCTCCCCTCCCCTCCCCAAATCAGGGAGCCACCCGCACCCCACCCCACCCCTGGACCACACCCCCTCCCCCCTGACTCCAGGGACCCCCCCCTTTCCTTCCCCCCAGTCCAGCTCCACCTGTCCACCCCAGGTCCACACCCACCGCTTCCCCCGCCCGCAGGGATTCATCATCTGGTTAAAAATGTCTGCTCAGTTATTTGGTATTGACAAAGGTTCCTGAAAATGAAGGATTCCTTCCACACACACCCCACCACAACAGCAACAGCAACAACAACATCATCATCAACAGCAACAACATCATCAACAACAACATCATCAACAACATCAACAACAACAACATCAACAACATCATCAACAACAACAACATCATCATCAACAGCAGCAGCAGCAGCAGCAGCTCTTGGGAGTTTCCAGATTGAATTACCCCCCTCCCCTCCCTCCCCCTGGTGAATTTCCCTTGGCCAACCTGGCCGGGCCGGGCGACTGGGTTCTCTGGCTGTCAGGATAACCAAGTACCAGCACCCAGTCCCCTCCCAGCCACCCCACTGTTATTCCATTTAATGTCTATTTACGTTTAGGAGGCCAGCATTGTGGCTTGAACTTGCTCTCTGTCTCTGTCTCTGTCTCTGTCTCTCTCTGTGTCTGGGCTTGCTCACTCACAAGCAGGTGCTCTACCACTTGAGCCACGCCTCCCATCAGGCTTTTGGCTGGTTCATTAGCACTAGAAACTCCCAGACTTTTCTGCCCTGGCTAGCTCCAAACCCAAAGCCTCCAAGTCTTCCTGATAGCCAGGATGACAAGTGTGGGCCACTGGTGCTTGTGCATTTTGGGCAGAAGCCTGCCCCCCTCCCCCACTGAAGAAAGAGCTAGAAGATGGTACCATGGGAGGTGAGTGGTGGGGGGGAGGGCACTCCCAGAAGCCTTTGCTCGATGCTTCCCTGGGAAAAGCTACAAGAACATCAGTTCCTTAGACAGCCAAGGAAAAGGAAGGGAGAGTAGAAAGGGGTGGTCAGTGTTGATTCCAAAACTGGGGGGTGGGGGTGGGCACCGTAGCTCATGCCTATAATCCCAGCCCATTGGGAGGCTGGGCCAGGTGAGGGTCTCCTTTAGCGGCTGGTAGGAGAGGGCCTGACCTGTGCTCTTCCAGCCATGAGATGATCGCCGATTGGATTTTCTCTTTTTCTTTTCTTCTTTTGGTCAGTCCTGGGGCTTGAACTCCGGGCCTGGGCGCTGTCCCTGAGCTCCTTCACTCAAGATGAGTGCTCTACCACTTAGAGCCGCAGCTCCTCTTCCGGGGTTCTGGTGGTTTGCTGGAGATAAAAAAGAGTCTTTCACGGGGACTCTGCCGCCCAGGGCTGGCTTTGAACCGCCATCCTCAGATCTCAGAGACCATTCCTTCTAAGTGGGATGACATTTGCTTCTCTGGGCCTCAGTTTCCCTCCACCCCTCCCTGCCCCCCCCCCTCCGTTTCTGGCTAGCTGCGGCCGCTTGTTGGTACCGCCAGCTTGTGAATCCACAGAGAAACAAAACGACGAACCAACAATGCACAATGCCCTTCCATAGGAGAGGGTTTCTCACAAGGGTTCTTTGTGTACCAGAAAGGAAGGGGGTGAGGGGGGCCCCTGGGGCCTGTCGGGGATGGGGCACCCAGCGGACATTGGGGTTCCTCCCCATCACCCCTCTTCCCTCCTCCTGTTTCCCCCGAAGAGCAAGAAGGCAAATACAGAGCAGCTATCCAAGTACTAGTTTCTCCGTTTCCAGGCTTTGTAATTAAGCAATTTAGCCTTCAGGAGAAAAGTTGGCACCATTCAAACACACCAGAAAGAAAAGGAAAACGAAGAGTAAAGGAAATCAACAAGAAGTATAAGCCAGGCACCGGTGGCTCCCGCCTGGCATCCCAGCTCCTCAGGAGGCTGAGATCTGAGGATCTCGGTTCAAAGCCAGCCCGGGCAGGAAAGTCCGTGAGACTCTGATCGCCAATAAACCACCGGAAAACCAGAAGCGGCGCCGTGGCTCAGGTGGTAGAGCGCCAGCCTTGAGCTGAAGAGCTCAGGGGTAGCACCCAGGCCCACGGTTCAAGCCCCACGACCGACCACAAAAAGCAAGAGAAAAAAGAAAGATTTGAATCCTGGGATTGTGTGGAGGAGAATAATTGCCAATCTCTCTATACTTCGCAGCCATGTGTTGCTAATTGTTTTTCTCCTCTCCATCTTTTCCATTGACACACACACACACACACACACACACACATTTTGGTCATGTACGAATTGCACTGGAAAGAAATCAGACCATCTATCTGTTCATGGCATCTGCAGCTCACTGGATCATTGAACTCTTGGGTCTAATGTTGCCCCCCCCCGCCCACCCCTCCCCAGCATCCATGGAAATCCCGTGAACCAAATCCACTGAAAGAAAGACACGGGCAAAGAAGCCTGGCCACAGGTCAGCCCAGCTGCTAATTCACAGCGTGGCCAATGCTTTAACAATGCCGATGACATCGTGGAGATGCGGCGTTCCAGAATTCACTAGGGAAAACCACCCCCCAAAAATAAAATAAAGCTGGGCCCCAGTGGCTCCCGCCTGTCACCCCAGCTACTCAGGAGGCTGAGATCTGAGGATCGTAGTTCAAAGCCAGCCCGGGCAGGAAAGGCCGTGAGACTCTGATCTCCAATAAACCACTCAGAAAACCAGAAGTGGGGCTGTGGCTCAAGTGGTAGAGCGCCAGCCTTGAGCTGAAGAGCTGAGGGACAGCGCCCAGGCCCCGAGTTCAAGTCTCACGACTGACAAAAAAATAAATACATAAATACATGAATAAAATAAAATAAGTCTAAGAGCTTTCCCTTGGGCAAAGATGCTGTTGATTGAGATGGAATCGCATTAGAACTTGACACCCAGCTGCACCCGCGGCCTTCGGAGAGAACTCGAGCCAAGAAACCCATCAACCAGAAAGGCCTTAATCTTCCAGGGACTATCCCACGAGAGCACGAAGCCCCATACCTCCCCCATGCCTCCCAAGGCTGCTTCCCCCCCTCCCTCCCTTCCCTCCCTCCCTCCCTCCCTCCCTCTCTCTCTCCCTCTCCCTCTCCCTCTCCCTTTCTCTCTCTCTCTCTCTCTCTCTCTCTCT